AAGAGGGAAGAGATGATTATGGTGTTTTGTCTAATTTGACCTCACTGTTTCGCATATATTACGTGTTGGTGCCCTTTGTTTTTGGGTTTGGGGTTAGATTTTATTTTTACGGAAAAGAGTTGGTTTTAAGGTCGTACCTGTGGAAAAGTAAGAATCAACTTGTCTGTTTCAACTTTACATGTTTTTTCAACTAAACACACACAATTTGGAACTCTATAATCTCAAAAGAGAAAAGAGGAAAATGTCATTTAGTTAACGAACTTTCAAATTTTCTGTTATTTATAGTACGAATTTTCTATACCGTTATGAATTTGTCGTTAACTTAGTTTTTATAACATCATCTTTCGTTAACCGAACCAAAATAAACATAATATCCTCAATTCTGTTAACAGAGCAGCTAATACATCATTAATCCATCTCTATTAGTGAATAGTGACGTCGTTTGGCTAAAATGTAATCTCCAAATCGTGATAAATTCCAAATTTCGAAAATCAAATGATGAGTCTGAAGAGGTCGAAGACCTTGAAGCAAGCAAGTATGAAGATTGGGATGATGAGGAAGATGGTGAGTGGGAGGCTCCCATGGTTTCCAACCCCAAGTGTGAGGCAGCACCTAGATGTGGCGAATGGAGCTTACCTCCCATAGATAACCCATCTTACAAGGGAATCTGGAAACCCAGAGACATACCAAACCCTAACTACTTTGAGCTTGACAGACCGACTGCAAACCTATTGCAGCCATTGGTATTGAGATTTGGACAATGTAAGATGGCAGTGGTTGACGACGGTTAATAGTAATTAATAGCAGCAGACTCATTTGAAAACACTTGAAGTAGAATTAGCTCTTAAATACAAAAATGGACAGACTACCAAGAGAGGAACTTATAAGCAGCACACCTAGGCACAAATCACTTTACACAATCTTTATGGTGTCTCTGCCATCATACATCTTCTCTGGCCTCTTGGAGAAATGACATGAAATCCCATGTGTTTATTTCAGATATTTTCCATGTATGATACTTCTAGGTGTTTATGAAAAATATTCGAAGAGAAATTGTTTTATACAAAGAGAAAACTTTTATTATTTAAGAACAGTCGCAAGAGTGACTATTAGAATTTTAAACACTGCAACTTACAGTGGATATAACCAATTACAGACTCATAGTTAGGTAAAAACACGTAGGAGTAACACGATCAAGCAGAGTATATAAAAGTGTTTTTTAAGTGTCTAACCAGAAACAAGGTAGAGGAGCTTCTCCACGTTTCTCAGATGAACATTTTTAAGTACATGTAGAAATAATATTGCTACTAATTCTAGGCTTCTAGCATAGCTAAACGCAATCTAAGTGAAAGAAAACAAAAGGTAATTGTAAGAGTCTTGGACAATGATCTTTTTTGTGTTGCTCTTCTTATTTTCTAGAGGGAGTGTCACATAAAGAAACTCACAAAAACTGTAAGCATGGTTCAAACTTGCCCTTATTGTCCTACATGGAAAATTTCTTTAAAAGTCCATAACAACAACAAAAAAAAGTATAAAGTAAAGAAAAAGTATAAATTAAAAGTAGAAAGGTAACAAATCTAAAACGTTACAAAAAGCTCGAC